ACATGCACACGTATGTTTATTGCAGCACTATTCACAATAGCAAAGACTTGGAATCAACCCAAATGTCCATCAGTGACAGATTGGATTAAGAAAATGTGGCACATATACACCATGGAATACTATGCAGCCATAAAAAAGGATGAGTATGTGTCCTTTGTAGGGACATGGATGCAGCTGGAAACCATCATTCTTAGCAAACTATCACAAGAACAGAAAACCAAACACCGCATGTTCTCACTCATAGGCGGGAACTGAACAATGAGATCACTTGGACTCGGGAAGGGGAACATCACACACCGGGGCCTATCATGGGGAGGGGGGAGGGGGGAGGGATTGCATTGGGAGTTGTACCTTATGTAAATGACGAGTTGATGGGTGCAGCACACCAACATGGCACAAGTATACATATGTAGCAAACCTGAACGTTGTGCACATGTACCCTACAACTTGAAGTTTAATAATAATAAATAAATTAAAAAAAAAAAAAAAGAAAAACATGAAAGTCTTGCGCGGAGTGAGATGGCCAAGAGAAGCAGCCCCCTACATGGAGCCTGCACAGGGTCTGGCCACAGCTGCTTTCCTCCAAGTCAGGCTGAGGTCCGAGGGGCCTTTAGCCATGTCCTAAGGCCAGAGAGCGGACACTTCCTCCAGGAGCTCACTCCAGTGTCTCTTCTTCCCCTTTTGTGAGTTCAGCTCAGCCTGGGGTCAAGGAGCCCCATTCCTGGTTACCTCCCTGTCCCATTCCACACGGGAACTCTAGCCAGGGCCAGGCCCCTTCCCATCATGTCCGGCCTCCACTCTGGCCCTGTCGGCCATCAGGCACTGAGCCTGCTGCTATGCTTGACTCTGGGCACCCATCACCACAACCATGTTACCTCCTGCTGCCTCCCTGTTCCCTCACAGGGCAGGGGAAAGACGACTCCTTTATTTTCAGAGGTAATCCTTGCTTCTGTGCCCTGGATCCCATCTTCCTCCTCAGAGGCCCTGCTCCAAACCCTGGCCTCGGGTGCCCACCTCCCCAGACCCATTAAATCACTAGAGGTAAAACCTGGGCCCTGAATGTCTTAAAAGCCCTCTAAGTGATTCTAATATGCACTCAGGGTCTCGAGAACAACCTACCTTTAAGAAAAGAGAACTAGAACACAATAAAATACAATAGAATTGAATTGAACAGAACATAATATAATAGAAAATAGCAGAGTGCTTGGCACATTATAAGGGTAAGCATTGTTTCTTAAAAGTCATGTTCCCGTCGTGTGTGTATGGGTGTGAGTGGGTGTGTCATCCTGGGTCATGATGTAACTTTATTTCTTGCTGTAGAAGATGGTAATTTTTAATTTTTATTTTTGGAAAACATTGCTCCAGTTCCTGCCTGAGCTTGTGATTCTCCTCTACAGTCAAGAATCCTCGAGGAAAAATCTTCCCTCACTGCCTGCTCTTTATCTTCATCTGGCTTCGACAGCCCCCATCTCCAACATTCCACTAAAGCTTCTCGCTGAGGTTTCCCAGGTCTGTCCCTTCCACACTCAGTGGCTTCTGCTCAGGTTCCTCATCCTTCCACCTGTCTGTGGGGTCGTGCGAATAGACGGTTCTCTTATTCCTGAAATTCTCTCTGTCCACAGAGACTGTGCTGTCTTCCAGATTCTCCCGAGTGTTCCTCCTCTCTCACCTGCTAACGCTCTTCCTCCCGACGCCTACATATCTTACCCTCAGTATTCTCTCAAGCTTCTAACTTTCTGTTCTTTCCACTTCCCTTTTGACCTCCTCTCCTTCCAGTCAATGGCTTTAAGTACTCCACGCATGAGACTCCAAATCCGTGTTCCCACATTTCCCCTCTGGGGCTCCTGCCATGCAGTTTGCTGGCTTATGTGCCTGCCTCCTGGAAATGGGTTAGAACTCAGGGAGGGTAATAGTGACAGGGATCAATTCACAGTCACACATGATGTGACCACTGCAGGCAGGCGAGGCAAGCAAAGGAGGATTTATCATCTGCGTTTTCCAGAGAGAGAGAAACAGACTCTGAGAGGCTGAGGGACTTTTCCATGGTCAGTTATCATCTATGGTGGAGAGGGTTCCAGAATCTATGACTTCAGGCTTTAATCCAGAGCTCTGGCTCTTAACACTATGCACTGGACACCGAATATGTTCAAAAGTGAAGCCACATATTATTCCTGAAACTAAAGCTTCTCTAACAGACCTGTGAATCATTAGGAATGCTTTCTAAGGCCAGTCTCAGTGGCTCATGCCTGTAATCCCAACATTTTGGGAGGGCGAGGCAGGAGGATTGCCTGAGTCCAGGAGTTTGAGACCTGCCTGCCCAACATAGTGAGACTTCATCTCTACAAAAATTACAAAACATTAGCTGGGCATGGTGGATGCAACTGTAGTCCTAGCTACTCAGGAGGCTAAGGTGGGAGGACTGCTTGAGCCTAGGAGGTCGAGGCTGCAGTGAGCTGTGATCGTGCCACTGCATTCCAGAGTGGGCAACAGAGCAAGACCCCATCTCAAAAAAAATAAAAATTTAAAAAAAGAATGCTTTTTAAAACAGCGATGTCTAGAACCCTCTTCGAACTCACTGAATTAGAATCTCCTAGAAGAGCTTTTTGTTCGTTTTAACTTAATATTTTGAAGTAATTATAGATTCACAAAATTGTACAAGAAGTTTTCATGTGCCCCTCACCCCAATAGTAATGTTGTACACAACCACAGCACAATATCAAAACCAGGCCACTGACATGGCTACAATCCATAGAGCTTGTTCAGCTTTCTCCTTATACAGGCAGGCACTGGTTTGGGTGTGCATATATGGCTCGATGCAGTTGTGATGACAAGTACAGCTTTGTGTAACCAATACCACAATCAAGATAGTTCACTGAACCATCACCACAATGCTCTAGAGCTTTGGTTTTGAAAGTTCTTGGGTGCTGCTCGTCTGCATCCCTGATGACGGACTACTGCACCAGGGCATTGCTCCTCTGCCTGCCTCTTCTGGGGCAATGCACCGCTACCCTCTAAATCACCCTGGCTTGAAACTCTGAGCTGTCATTGACCTCCCCGCTGTTGGCCTGCCTGCCCATGGCTTCTCAGTCAAATGGTCCAACAGATTTTTCCTTCATAATACCTCTCAGGCCCATAACTTGTCCCTGACTTCAGGCCTCTTGACTTCTCTCTATTGCTGCAATAGCCTTCTCATCCATTTCCCTTCTTCAAGATGCCCCAGCCAATATCATAAAGCATGCCCAAATTCCTCCATTGCCCAGCTCTGACCCCGTCATTCCTCTGACCAAAAGCTTTAGATAGTTTATTGCCATTTACAAAATAAAGTTCAAACTCTTTAAGTTCAAATAGGAAATCCTCTATATCTGATTCACTTTCCTTATCTAAATTTCTCAAACTCAATATCAGCTTTTTCCATATGGCTTATAGTCCAAATGGTATCCTTAAGGACATGATAAGGTTCTCACCATAGGGAAGAAATGAAAGGCTCTGAGATTTCTTCCTCCTAGTGCTCCATTCTCTTCTGTCTTGTTATGTGAGAAGTTGTGCCTCTTGCTTGGGGGATGTTTTCATCCTCGAATGCTGGTTCTTCCATGCTGTGCCTCCTTACAATGTAAGACGTGAGGAGGATCAGCAGGCCGAGGTGAAGTCCAGGGATAGAGTGTGTGGGGCAGGCTAGTCAGGCTGTCTGGCGTTAGTCACTAGGGGATGGGAGTTTTCTTAGGCATTAGTTTTTTGGGTCCCAGCCTAGATGATGGTAGGCAGCCATCAGAGACAGGAGCTGAGCCCTTCCTGTCTCCCTCGTGATAGACAATTACCTTTAAGACTATGTTGCCTGTTTGCATCCTTGATGCCTTTTCCTTTCTTCATGTCCACAGAACAATGAGAATCAAATGGTTCTCCAGCAGTGCCCTTCAGAAATTTCTAAAATCCCCTCACAGCACTGCTCCCACGCTTCTTACCATATGATGATAAAATGAAAATGAAGATTCGCTTTCTCAGATTAAATACGTTTCAATTATCCAATGTGTTTCAGTTTTAATTGATAACAAATCACAAATTGCCCATCTGAACTTCTCATTACAGCAACTGATTCACTAGGAAATTTACTACCTGACACCAGAGAAAGCTCAAAAGATAACACAAGCTCAGTGTTTCTGTGACACAGCGACCCAGAAGTCTATTTTGAGAAATCATGCGTTATCAGAAGTACATTCATATAAATGGTCCTGTCAAGAACACTGGTTTTTCAGCTATCTCCAAATGTGGTCTTTAAGTCTGGAATGGTATATGATGGCACATGGGGGTGCAAAGAACCAGAGACCAAGAAATGTGCACCAGGGAGAAGAGGTGGCTAGTAGTGCTGGAGAAAGAGAGTTAGTGATGTCATGGCCTCAATGAGGTGTTTGCAGGCCACCCAGGGCCTGGCTAAGGACAGATGAAACAGGGAACAGGGGATCCAGCAAAGAGGCTAGACATTTGACAGGTCTGCTGCTGTCACTGAGTTACATGTCCACTCCCATCCCCATCATCACCACCACCACAACCTCCATCACCACCAGCACCATCATCACCACTACCACTGCTAACATAACACCAGTGAACAATCTTCCAGGCAGAGGCTGAGGAACCCTACTAGGTGAAATGATGCATCATGGAAAAGAGTCACTGGACATGTTCACTGTGTACATGGTAGGGTAGGAAGTCAGGGCCTTCTATCTTATCATATTGCACTGGAATATGGGAGGGGAGAGTAGGCAGCCAGTGACAAAAAGCCTAAGGACCAGACCCCTCTGGGATGCAGAGGCCGTGCTCGGATGCAGAGGCCATGCTCAGATGCAGTGAATCTTCCGAAGCAGTGGCCACCATGAATTTCTCATCTATACTCCAGAGAAAAAGCAGCCACAGACAGCCTTGAGCAAATGTGAACCCCGATGCTGAACCATCGGCTTCGATGTCAGCCAGGAAGCAGGGCTTGGGCCTTGGGAAGCTCTGACACTCACCGTTACTGCTGTTGTCATCCACCAGGATGATCTCCTTGAGCAGATGCGGGGGCGTGCGTTCGATGGCTGAGTGGATGGAGCGCAGCAGCACCGAAAGTGCTTCATTGACGAAGATGAACACGATGCTCACCTCCGGCAGGCTGTTAGGAAACGAGAGGTTACGGCACCTGCAAAGAATAGCCAAGAACTTAGATTTGCGAGTGACTCAGCTAGAGTCACCTCAGGAGCTGACCCACCCCGTGTCCTGGCTCCAGCTTTGCTGGAGGGCTCAGGAGTCCAGATTCTTCCAAGGGCCCCTTCTTTGATGCACTTAAGATGAGCCCTAAATGTCCAGCAGTAAGGCCCACAAGCATTGAAACCAGTTCACCCCACACTGAGTTGAATTTGTCAGTGACTATGCCAGCTGAACAGTAATGCCATGAGCACTTAGGACAGCACATGGTAGCTGGCAGGTAGTCCCCGATTGTTTACTAGAAGAATGACTTAATGTTTCTAAATCCAGTAGAATGGGAAATGCAACCAAAGTCAATTCGTAATATTTCCAAAATGGCAGCCAACACCTAGGTGAGGCCAGACCTCAGGCACCCAGCCTCAGGAGACAAAGATGCCTCCTCCCAGAGGTTTCTACTGCCAAAATCTACTTCCCTTCACTCCAGAAGGCATACTGCCTGCGACTTCTCCTGCTTCTCGCTCATCACAGAAATCCAGTTTCCAGAACAGGGTTGGAGCTAGAAACAGTCTCAACATGAGGAAAAAGTAGAAGGACGAGGTCCAGTCTCATTTCACAGACGGGGAGACTGAGGCTCAAAGAGGTTGAGTTCCCACCTATGGCTGCATTCTCAGTCAGCTACCATGACAGAATCCCAACTCTGGTCCTCTGACACCTGCACCAGGATCTCTCCTTGAAGGAGAAATGGCCATGAAAGAGAATGCCCCTAACTGGCCCATTTCCCCCTAGCTCTGCTGAAACCCTGAAGCCATTTGGTGGTCTCTTGAGGACTTGAGGTATTCCCCATATGAAGAGGAACACAGTTCTGAAATCAGACCCCATGAGAGGCCAGACAATGGAAAGTGTCATGGCTCCTGAGGGTAGTTCCCTCCTCCGCAAGCATAGTCTCTATGGGCAGGAGACCACTGCTGGTGCCCTTCCCTGCCTGACACTAAATGCTGTTCTAGAAGGCACTAAGCTCCCATTTTCCGGGTAGATGAATGAAAGAATGGAGCAGCAATCACAGCCCTGTCCCAGGCCCTGGGTTTGGAGAGGAGGGTTCCCACTGAAGGCTCCAGGGGTTTAGGGCTGGTGACCATGTTCCATTGCTCCAGAGTGGGAGGTGCAGCCAGGTCAGAACACGCAATAATGAGCATAATTGCACGGGGCTTCTGCTCGTCGGTAATTAAAGTGTTGCAGAATAGGAATGGGCCTGCTCTTCTTTAATGAGGAAGGCTGCAGGATAACCAGCATTGAGCAATTTGGAGAAATCACCATGGGGCCCCAGCCTGCTTAAGAGCATGAGATTAATAAACTAAGATCAGCATCTCTATGGTTACCAGAAATTTACAGAAACTTTTCCCATTCTATTTCCAGCTCTCCTTCTCTCTCACCAGAGAGGAATGAGGGAAAGAAAGAGTTGAGTCTTTTCCCAAATCTACTTCGTACTTGTGATTTTAATAAAACCAAGTTAATAGATTGGTGTAGAATTCATTTGTTCGTGCATTTAATGGAATAGATATATATTGAGTATCTTCCTCTAGGCAGGTAGTCTTACAGGCACTGAGGGTACAGCAGGAAGTGGACACAGTCCCACAGTCCCTGTCCTTATGGAGCTCATGCTTTGACAGAGAAACAGATAAATATGGAAGAAAAAATACAATTTCATATAAGTACTAAGATGAAAAGAAACTCTAGGCAAGAGAACGGGATGGTACCCTGGCAGCTGTTGTACAAGGAGTGGTAGGAAGGACTCTCTGAGGAAGAGACGTTGGATCAGAAACTTAAATGGCATGCAAAAGTGAGTCGTGCAAGGGTTCTGTGGGTCCAAAGGAACAGTGCTGTGGCTGAAGAGGAGGGAACCAGCTGATTTGACAATGATGAAAGAATGAAGGGAATAGAGAGGGAGGTGAGGGGAGGAACTTGAATGAAGGAGAAAGACTGGCATGCCTTCTGAAGTTCATCAGATCTTTTTCAATATTTTAGAAAAGAAAACTGTGAATACAATTTTCATAACAGCAATTAAAAGATTTGTGGTTGACAGTCAAATAAGTCCTCTAGCTAGTATTTATTTATGGTGATCAAGACCAGCAGCTGGGCTTTCCCTAGGCACAGAAACTGACAGAGATGAGTATTAACACACACACCATTTGTTAATTGCATTTAAAAAGTAATACCATATGTGGCCAAACAAATAGCACATTAATTCTTCTTTTATATAAAGTATAATAGACAGCTCCCAAGAAGGCCAGTGGATTGGTACAAGTTCACTGTCTTCCCTACCAAACTCCACCAGCAATGAAGACCTTGCTTCTGTATCTCTCTGCACTTCCCCAGGGGGTCTGCTCTGCGTTCCCAGAGCCTCACTATCCAAATCTCCAGGGTGTTCAGAGATGGGGGTTAACTGTTTACCCCTACTCTCTTCCCTTCTTAATTCTGAACATAGTGCCCAGTCTCCCCCATCTGAGGAAACCAATTTTAATTCCTCCCGGCAGCAGCCATGATGGTCTGAGCTGCCAGTCTCTGGAAGCTGGTCTCCTGATGTAGCTGGTCTTTCTCCATGCAGAATGAAACGATGTATTTGTTTAATAAGCTAAGCCCTGCTGATCACAATTTTCACATGAAAGACTTTTGAACATAAAGTTTTCCTAGGAAAACTCATTTGAACATAGCCGAATACACTTTCTAGGGCGTCACATTCAAACCTGTTTATTGTCTGCCCCACTCTACTAGAATGAAGCACCCTGACAGCAGAAACTTTGCTTTTGGACTGTGCTGTCTCCTAACCTTGGACTACAGTCTGGCACTTAGTAGGCACTCCATGAATGTTTATGGAATGAAACAAACTTAACAAGCTTGCTTATTTTATCTACGGCCTACATTTTGAGTGCCTGCCGCTGATGTTGGACTGCTCCTTTTTCTTACAAACCTCCTCCCTTGGAAGGAGAGTCAGGTCCTCCCCCTGCCAGCAGGCTCCTGTTCTCCCGTGCTCCCTCCTCCTGCAGGAATGGCCCCAATTCCTCACATTGGAAGTCTCCAGAAGTGTTCAGTTTCTTTACACTGTAATCCCTCCAGGCCAAATGCCCTGACCTCCTTAAATCCTTCTTTTCTCTTCTCTCCTGGGACCGCTGGGGCCTCCTGGCGATAGCCATGCTGCTGCTGTGGCCTCTCTCTTGGCATCAGGAGACACCTTCCCTCAGTCTTCAGTTTCTCAACACCTGACCTAAGGTGGCCCTGGGTGAGCAGAGCAGACAGGTGAGGGGCAGGCAGGATAAGGAAGATGATGTGGGGGGATTGTTTTAGGGAAAGCGTTTGAAGGGGATGAAGTCACCCAGGTGCTGTTCCCAGCTCTGCCCCACCTTGCTGTGTGACCATGAACGAGCCACCTTCCCTCTCTGCTCTATGTCTTGGTCACAGAATAAGGAAGTGGGAGGAAAGGATCACTCAGATGGCTTCTCTCCACAAGATTGAGGCTCTTATGTCTCACATGTTTTCCAGCTTCCCCTCCCTCCCGACCCACAGATGCCACAAGAAACATCCCCTTGCTACCATCATGACTACATAGGGTGACCAACTCGTCCCAGTTTGCCCAGGACCTTTCCAGTTTCAGCACTGAAAGTCCTAGGCACACCAAGTCAGGTGGTACCCCATGCCTATACCACCAGCTGTGAGGGCACAGACTGGCCTTGCTCACACCCTCCTGCCCACTGCCCCACACCATGATGCAAGCAGCAGGTCTTCCATTGGTATCTGTTGAATAAATTCCCTTTCAGATTCCCCAAAACACCTTTTCACCTCAACACTGAAGCAGAATGTACATTGCTGAAGGGTAGGGGCAAAAAGAAGGAAGAAGAAGAGCATGTCAAGAAAGACATCTACATTCTTCCTGGTCATGCCATCCTCATCACTGCAGACACTGAACTCAGGAGAAGGCTTTGCACTGTAGTCTGAGTCACCTTGAAAAGAACATGCCTCCAACAGCTGTGTGGGAGAGGACTGCTCTGGACCCATGCCCAGAGCTTTTGCTCCAGAGTCCAGCCACTTTCTTGGCCTGGCAACCCAGCACTGACCCGGTGGACTTTGCTCCCAAATCTGCACTGCTAAGATGCCCTCCCAGAGCACCTGGATTTTCCAGGATTGGGCCACCCACACACTCTGCTCCAGTTCTGCCACAGTTGGGACCCTCCCAGAGCCTCCCTCCCCTCTGCCCTGATGTCTGCCTCTGCACTTGCCTCTCTGCTCACCTCTGCAGGGAAGGGCTGAAGACACGGCTCTCTGGGAGTCACACTCTGGGACCAGCCCTTCTGTGTTTAAGCTCCTCGAGAACTCACAACTGCACGAGACTGAGCCCATGCTCATTTTGAGAACAGGAACATTCTCCTGTAAAATTAAGCCATAAAAACCTCCCTTTTTACTTTTATTCTTGTTCAAAGCTGAGCCATTTTCCACTAGATATAAAAAACAAGGCATTTCTGAGAGGGGAGGGATATGACTGTCTAATAAGCTGGAATTGATGGTCATGACAGACTCCGTTCTATTGAGTTCTGCACACAGAAGGAGATGCAGGGATGGGGAGCAACAACTTAGGGGGCTTCTTTGGAGATATGTATGAGGAAAATTTACACCAAGGGCTTCAGTGCTGTACGATCATGAGAGGCGGGGAAGCAGTGGAGGAATAAGTGAGGTAAGGTCCAGCTCTCGGCCACCTGATAAGACCCAGGGCAGTGGCCAGACCTCACGCGCTACAGCCGGACACCCCCTCTTTGACCTCAGCAAGTCTGCAAGGTCCTAGTCTATCAGAGTGAATTGTTCATAGGGGCTGCTTGACCTGGGGGTGGGGGATGGGAAGAGTGAGCAGGCCCCTTCTAGAATGAAGATCAAAGTAGACTGTGAACTGGGGTCTGTCTGCCAAGACACACTGAGAACAGCATCCAGCTATGCCAGGGTTCTGGGAGTGGA